AATTTCTTTTAAGCGAGATGTTGAAATAGGAAATATTTAGTACTTATTAAATATTTTAATAAGGAAAATAAATTTAATCTTAGTAAGTTTTTACAAGCCCTTACCGATTATGCCAGACGAACATAATAACACACTATAGTACGGATAATTAGGCACCTAGGCACAGAGTTATCTCAACGTTGGTTCTCTTTGTTAGCGAAACGATTAAAATAACAATCACGACTTTAATAACTTGGTAATGAGACTGGTGAAGTAATGAGGTGTTGAGACATTGTTCTTCAAAGGTGCGGCTTGGGGTACTGTGGTTTCGTAGTCGTTGGTGACTTTTTCCTAATTGTCAATGATAGCCTTCTAGCAGGCGAAAGCTTTGTTGTACTTCAGAAAGTTTCAACTAAATAATCTACCTAAAGTAATTCAAGGATTTACAATCCGTGGTGGCACTTCACAATTAAGCTACTATGTCGTCTGTGTCTATGATAAATTTTTCAGGAGGCGTGTGTAATTTTTAAATTTATGTTCTCATGTATATTCACGTGAAAGGTATAAATATCATAATAACGTATACTAAAAACAATTTTACTGTTATCATTCGCACCTTTAAAGGATATTGGCTTATAATAATGATAAAATATTAATACAGTCCGTTAAAAATTGATTTTATGTGTATTGACTTATAACGCGTCTGTACTGTTCGAAATATTCTGTGCGCAACTTATGTTGCCGCAGCGAACGCAGATGTTCGCACCACAAATCAATTTCACAAATTGAAACACGACCACTGATAATACCTACTTCTTGCCTTCGATGACCCCAACAGGGTGACTGAACTTAATGATGTCAATGCACGATAATTTTCTTAGAAATCGTTTGTTAATTTGCGTTCTTGTATTAACTATCGTCTCCGTTAATAGACTTTGAACCATTATAATGTGATATATATATACTGTAAATATTATTTTCTACTTATTCCATTTAAATTTTGGGCTTCTTTAACGAAACAGCTCTTTAAAAAGCATAAAGAACGAAAGTCAACAAATATAAGTACCAATGGCATATACCTCCTGAATACCTACGGCGTTGTGGGCGGAACTATATTTAAATTTAAAATGGAAAGATATTTATATAACCTCCCATATATGTGAAGCCAGAATACGGTTTTATTTGCAGGTTTATATTAATACTTTACATCGACCAAAAATCAATAAAAAATCAAGAAAACCATTATATACTGGCAACTTAAAGAGCTTTTATATAAATAACTTGAAAGCTTTTAGTCTGTGGTTTTTAGTAGTACTTAACACTGGCAATCCCAATATGTAGGTTTACGTAAGCCGTATAAAAACTATAATAATGATGTATAAGATATTACAGTACATACAGTAATTAATTTATAATATACTTATTCTATAGAATACTGTGAGTTCTAAGTGAGATAATAATAATTAATTGTCTGTATTTGTGCTGTGGAGTAGTCTATAGTCTTTCAGGACAGCCAAATTATAGAAAAATAAAAAGATTCCTAATTAAAAATATAATCTTTAGGCTTGTGAATTCTATACAAAGGCAATTATAGCCTGTATTTGTGGTGTCGCATTTAGTCTGTGGTCTTTGAGCGGCCATATTTTTGTGAAATTGACACTGGCATAAAACAAAGATGGGCAACAAGTCAACGTCCGCAAAGCATCCGCATCTAATTACATTGTGTCATTAACATCACGGGACGGCACGTCCGTCTAGGAAATGGAATCGAATCATTAGTTGTTTGATTACAAAAAAGGCTTAATAGAAATATAATAACGGCCAGAGAAATTGTAAAAAGATTGTGGAGCAATCCAATAATTGGCGGTTATTCGTCGATACGGTTTGGAGCGGGTAATGGGTTGGGACTCCTCGACGTGACTCCAGGTCTCCCCCTTCTCCCCTGAACAGGTTCACCCGCCTTTATTGCTATTTACAAGCTATGGACTTTTTGTTTTGCCGGAATAAAATAAAAGATGTCGCTCTTAAATTTAAATTGATTAGAAAACTACATATTAACGTCTAAAACACAGTACTAGAGTAGTAGGGGTTAATATGTAGAAATTTAAACAATATATTTTTTTTTAGTGCCTACTGTCTGTAGCTTATGTCTAAACGTGTACATATTTAAATAACGCTTAACTTAACTTATGAGTTAAACGCAAATGTATTAAAACGTAGTTAAACTTATTTACAGATTATTTTAACTACGGCTCGACGTTTCTGATGCTTGGCCTGGACGGGAAGACTGCTCTAATAATGTAAATCTTCTTTCTAGTTAATTTTAATTTAAGAGCGACATGATTTTTATTTAACAAATATAGTTAAGCACTTGCTAGAATGTAAATGAGCCCTATAACATGTTATAAGATGCGCTGTTGACGATTGTTATTATTTTTTGTTAATTATTTCATAGGAGTTTAATTTACTAGCTCATCGTTCTGGACATCACAGCACCGGTTTCTAGAAGAATCTTTGTGTATATATACCTTTATTTTGTATCGCTGATGCACTAGGCAGGCCCGAATTTAGGAGAAGGCAACTGAGGTTAGCCTGGGGTACGTCCTAACAAGAGACTTTGAAATTATATTCAAATAAAAACAAACACTGCTATAATTAAGACGTAACGGATTTTTCATTTTCATAAGAATTTGATTATTTATTTCATTTGATAAATATATTGGCTCCAGGGCCCTGTCATTCTTTTGTTGTCGCGAGGCCTGCATTCAAATCCGTCCCTGGAACTAGGTGTATTGTAAAGACAGTTTGGAACCTCAGTTGACACGGTTATTTTATAAAAATTCTCAATATACCCTCAATGCGCCGTCGAACGGATCACGCTATCGTTTAATTTCATAAAAAATCTTTTGTATAACAACAAAAAGAGTTGTTTTCTTGCGAGCACGTCTCGCACTGCCGTGTTTAACAATGAAATAAATAATTAGCTGGTTCGGTAACGGGAGGATTTTTTCCAACATTAGCCTTATTCTATTGTGTTGCGGCAATTTAATATTTTTTGTAATGAGATCTCGAATATTGAGTGGGTGGCTTAAGCATTTTTTTGTTCGAAATCACGAAACACTCCAATGATAGTTGCGTATATCGGTTGCTTGGTATTTAGCGCAGGTAAAGTATACAATTACCTCGATATTGACGAACTATGCTTTAAAATTTAAATAAAACCCGTGGCCACCGGGAGACGACTGTTGCAAAGCATCCAAAACGTCGGGCCGTAGATAAAAAAAATTAAATCATTTTCTAGTATATAACGCGATATAAACCATTAAAGCGTATTATTTAGTGTAGTGTAGTGTAGTTAATGTGTAGATACAACTCTCGTAAAATTCACTGATTCAAGCTTTGATTGGTGACTTAAATTTGCTTGGGTATACCGTAAGAGGTAAAAATAAGTCTTTATATTTAAAATAAAAGTCATTTTATTCCATTATTCTCCTGTATGTACACTTATGAATGTCTATGCAGTTAAAAATATATAATCTAAAAAAATACCTTTAGTTATCAATTAAAATGCTCTAAAATAACTGTAAGTTATGATTTAGTGGTTATTCCAATAAACCAAATGTAACTTTTTGTTTTACAGGATAAAAAGTTGTAGTAATAATAGAAATTCTTCGTTATTCCAATACTTACGTCATTTTGATAGGCCCGATTCGACTTATTACCGTCCTAATTACTTAAAAACGATGTGTAAGTAAGTAACATTTTACTTTTTTTATTAGCTTGATACTCAGTAATGAGTTCCAGTTAGGTGCATCGATTGTATACCGTTGAAATAGTTATCCCAAAAAGCCTATAAACTGATTAAATATGACATTCGTATTTCTAAGGAGTCATTAATACTTGATTTTTTAAGCTTTTTCGTTGAAAAGATGTCATATACCACAACTAAAAATTAAAAATAAAAGATAGTTGATCCATGTAAGTTCTATATTTTTATAGTATGTATCTCTACTGCGATAGATATTTAGTCGGTATGGTTTTAGAGCATATTTTCATGTTCAAGGTGGCATATACAAATCTTAGTATTATGACGTACCTTTAGTTTGAATTAGTGTTGTGGAACTCTTTTGAATTACCAATTGTTAAATGGAGTACAGTCACGATTCTATAAATGTGTCGTTGAATATTAATTAACATCCAGCAATCTCTGTCGTCTATAGTTAAACAAACAGTGAATACATTTCAATGACGAACCCACCCACGACGCGAGAAATGTATGAATTTATAACCTCTTTTGTCTCTCACTCGATACTATCTCATTATATGAAACTTAACAAAGGACTCCTTTGTTTTAATGCCCAGGTATCCCTGAGGAGTGTCTTTTCACACCTCGTCCCTACAATAGTCACCTGTACCAAAACTTAGCTGGAGATTAAAATTAAACGAGAACAAATTCCTCGTAAGCAGAACTACAATGTAAAAACAAAAAGAACTCAGGATAAAGGAACCAAGGAAACATAAAAAGAAAAAAACATAATTCAATAATATAAATATTGCATTTATTTCAACGAATTCGGCAAATATAATAACTGTAGATATTTATAATACTATTCAGTTTACAAGTCTCGGACGACGATGCGTCAAAGATTTTTATATCACTGGCTGGCACTGGGTTTCAGTTAATTTAATCTGAATAACAAGTAAATGCAGATTGCATACAATTAGTTTATAATTAAATTATACAAATAATAATAAAAATATCGGAAGTCGTGAACGAGGCAAATCCACATCGTGCCTGCCGCCAGATACGCAAGAACATAATAGACGAAAAAACTAAGAGCGAAAATATATACAAACATAACATAATGCAAACAAAAAATAACAAAAGCGATATGCAAATAATATTAAACCTGTTGAAAGTACATTGCTTAAGTGCGATATTTGCATTTGAATGCTACAAGAGTATCTTGACACGCAGCTAAGACGGAAGGCAAGTTTTCACATAATAAATACGAAATATAATGGCAACACCCGCGGCGCGTGCGTACGAGTCTAAGACCGCACGAGCTTTCGACGTCATTATGCGTGGAAGGTATTAGAAAAAATATTTGCATATCGCCTAACCCCCCAATTTCGTGGTACTCTTATGTAAATGCGATAGAACAGCCGGCGACCCCACAACACGACTCATTATTATGTAAAACACCACAACTTTCACGTTATGTCTGTATGTATTCGTGCCCTTCGGCGAACATATGCAAAATAATTAGATACGGTTTTATCACAATTCTTAAGATGCCTCTACGAAACGAACAATATATTTATTTAATATCTATCTATACTATGTCTAATACTACACCGTAGTGCGAGTTCGCGAGCGTCGCAAACAAATTTTACACCCTCTAACGTTATCGTCTAGTAGTATACTTTTACACGATTCGATTATTTACAGTGGAGTTACGATAATAATTTACACAACACTCGAACTCTAAAAGGCACCTTATTCAAGTAGTAATAGATTTCAGGCTTCGCTATGACTTTATATAATAACTAAAACGTTTTTAATTCTCTAAATATATAATTTGGTTTTCATTACACACCTACAACAATCGATAGCTAAAACCTAATAGGAGTTTTAAATATGAACAACTAGGAAGAATAATATTATGCAACAGATCACTAGGAGCTACGGGGCGCGTGCGGCGGTCGCTTCCAGCGCAACTGAACATGAGGAGACGCGAACAATCGCTATCGCAACGGAATTACCGAGAAAGTCTCTTTGATTGGCGTCATTTAAATAATTGATTATTCATGTGGAGCGAGCGCGTGTGCGCCGGATCGGTCCCATTAGATATACGACGTCCTTCACGCGTCCTAACTCCTACCATTGTTGTGTTCGTTTGCATTTGAATAGCGGTGGTCTGCGAGCCGCCCACCGGCCGCGGCCGCCGGCACGCCTCTCGCGCCTCCGAAGACAACATCTCGCCATCCATCACTCACGCATTCAAAAACAACAGGCGAACAAAGAAACTTAATGACATTACCAAACTATCCCACTAATGTATTCAGCGATTGTTGTATTTGGATAACAATATCGGAATCTTAACTATTATAGCGAGCTGGAGTTAACATTATATGGACCGATCTGACGTTTCGTAAACTTGAATACGAACGCCGCACACGCCGTTATATTTCACTCGATATACCTAAGTCTATTTACAGGAATCACTAGTAGGAAAATAGATCGACAACCGTCACGGCGCGACTCAAACTTCGCTCCTATCGTAACTTCAAACATTAACAGTTCTACGAGCGAAGCCGGCCGCTGCGAGGTTCTTCTAAGTTCAAAGCGCATGCCAACGCTATCACAACTACGTTCAAGTACACTCACCGTTGCCAGCGAGTTGTGGGCGGAGGAAAGCGTTGTGGAGCTCGCTTCCGAGCCCGCTCTCCAGCCGCGCCGCCATCTGCATCAGGGCGAGCGTTCCGTCGTCGCCGGCGCCGACGCAGTTCTCGAGACGAGCGCGCACAGCCGCGATGTGCCCGCGGGTGAACACGTGGTCTTGTACCGAATATTTGTGACTGTACTTGAAGTCACACACGCGACACTCCTCAGGCGGCGGCGCGTCCGATACCTCCGATAGACCGGCCGCTAGCCTCGCCTTCTTCTCTTTGGCACGAGCGTTTTGGAACCACACTTGCACCACACGTTTCGGCAGCCCGATCTCGCGCCCGAGTGCTTCGCATTCCGCCATCGTAGGCGTTTTATAGTCGCTGAACAGAGATTTCATAATCTTCACTTGTATCGAAGACATCTGAGTTCGGTAACGTTTGCCGGGCCTCTGATTCGGTTGACCCGCTATTGGCGAGGTCGGGTCGTCTTCTTCGTAGAATTCCATGGTTTCAGATGCCGTGTCTGATCTCTCGTCTGCGTCCGAACCTGGTCGCGATAAATCGACGGGTTTGCTGAGATCGAGGGGTGTCTCCGGTTTTCCATGTTCGGGTCGTCTCTCAGATGACTCATTGTTTCCGCCGTTCTGTTGAGCGGCGGCTTGGGCCTGAAGTTCGCTTACGTAGCGCTTCATTGACTCCTCACTATACTGTTTGATAAATTTCTCCATGTCTGAGTGAAACGGCGGAAAAATAGGGGGCAACATGGGAGCCCCCGCTTGGGAAAAATTTTGCTGTCTATCACTTTGTTGCGATCCAAAACTGGGTGTTGATTCTGTACTCAACTCCTCATCAGGTAGAGCGTCCACGTTTATTTCCCCTCTAGCACATTGATCGGCATGTTTAGTACTTAAGTGACTTTCAAGTGCACTTTTAACTTTGAACAAGGCTGGACAAAAAGGGCAGCGTTTGTTAATGACTTGGGCATGTGCACGAAATTGTCCTTTTCTTTCACGGGCCCTTGTGTTTTGAAACCACACTTGAACAACTCTTTTCTTTAAGCCGACTTCGCGAGCGATATTTTCGAGCATTTTTCTCGAAGGGTTAGATTCGATTTGATATTTTTGATATAAATAATCGAGTTGCTCAGGTAGGATTGTCGTTCTTAGCCTCTTATCTTTTGGTTGTTCACCCGTGTCTACTTCTTCAAACTCATCGAACTTTCTTTTAGCAACTTGTTGGTTTAATGCGGCAACTAAAGGGTGGCGAGCTTCTTCATTTGAGAGGGAAGCATTTAATTGCTGTAACTGGGCGTGCTGTTGCAAGATCCCAAAAGGGGAATCAGGTGGATAAGTGGGGAATAAATTTGGGTTCATGAAATGAACCATTTGATGTTCTCGCCATAAGTCAAAACGTGGGAAGACAAGGTTGCATTTGTCGCATTGAAAATTTCCATCTTTGTCATCTCTTGGATTGTGCGAGAGAGGAGTCACTGGCGTGTGAGGCGTAGGAGGAGCCGGAGAAACCGGATAGTTAGGTGCGGCAGGCGTTGGAGTACGAGGTGGTGCCGGTGATACTGGCACATGCGGAACGTGGTGTTCTACGGTGCTAGAGTTCGAGTCTTCGCTGCTTAAAGTTGCAGCAACCTGCGCAGCTGCCGCTTGTGCCTGCGCAGATCGTTTCGCATCCTCCTCCTTAAAACAATGAGTCTTCTGGTGTCGTATTAATTCGTAGTATCTTTGGAATACCAGCTGACACTTTTTGCATTGGTAGTTTAGTCCTGGTGTACGTTGAAATCTGTTGGCATCGTCCATAGATCCCGCAGGTGGATCTGCGGCAGGTTGATTTTCATATACTTTCCTCGCTTTTTGTCTCGCGTTTTGAAACCAAACGACGATAACCCGTGGACTGAGACCTAGTAACTTTGATAGATATTCTAAATCATCGTCTTTTGGGTAGGCATTATTTTCGAAGAACTCTTGCAATACTTTGATCTGATAATCAGTAAATCTAGTTCTGTTGGCGCGTTTGCCAGAAGACCCCGAGCTGTTGGATCCATTCGAGTTGCCCCCGGAAAGTCCGAAATCGGCCGGTCCCCTGCCGGGACTGAGGCTGCGATTTGGGGTCAAAGGTAGGACGTTCGGGGGCGCGGCGTTTGGGGACGTAAAATTTGGATTTATTTTTGGCGGTAGCATAGACGGGTGAGGTGGTTGAGGTATGCTTGTAGCTGGTATAGAATCCAACTGAGACTGTATTAGTGAATTTAAAGATAAGTGTGTCGGCGTCTGAGGCCGAGATATGTTATGGTGCATTTCATTACTCAGAGCGGGACTTTGAGATGGAGCTTGAGGAAAGATGAAACTTTTGTCCTCTTGATGCCTATCGTCGTAGGAATTATACTTTTCCTCCATTGAAGGTTCTTCGTTTGGCTCAGACTTTACGTCTTGATGAGTCATCATCATATTTTCTTCAGTTTTTGCTTTTTTTTCAGGTGGCGGCTTACCCTCGTCAGAGCTCGCCGAAGAATCTAACGGTGTAACTTTCGCCTCTCCGGTTTTTTCGTATTCCTCTAGGTTCAGGGTAGTCGAAGGCGGGTTGTTGAAGTTGTAAGGAGAATCCTTGTTACGTTGCCGTTCCTTAAACAGTGTATTTCTGAACCAATGTTTGATTACCTTTGTAGCCAAGCCGGATTGTTTGGCCATTTTCGCGATTGCCTCATCGCTTGGCGAGTTATTAATGTCAAAATGCGATCGTAAAATTTTCAGTTGCTCGTCCGTGATGCGCGTTCTTGCTCTCTTCTGCCCGGCAGCATTTGCCTGCAAAGAGAAGATAGCTGAATAAAATATACGTAAATCAAGCGGTTAAGTGTATAATCTCACATACGCAGTTGCAGGTAAGCTCGAATAACAAGGTAATTGTTATAGATAATAGTACCCCGGCCCTGGCGCTTAACAAAGGACCCTCTGTTAGTTTGGACAAATAGTTAACGCTTATCTTACAATGTGCGTAGTTGCGTCGATTAAATATCTTAACATAATGTTGTATAATAACGTTCATATAGTGTTTAAAATAGGTCAGATGACCGTTAAGTTTACACACACAAACGCCTCAGTAAGTAATAGGATTATACTATAATACTGTTAACGACGGCGTATAAACAGCTATATTCACATAATATATTAATTTATTGCAAATTACATATTCATGCACGTTTTTCCGCGCATACTACAAAGATAAATTTGCGAATAGCTTATTAATCTCATTACATTACAATAATTACATAATTGAAGTTGTATCTAAGCATTCAAAGAACGAGTTATTTGTGTATCTATTGATACATATTAACATAAAGCATCTGCTTATAACTAATTAGTCATAAACTGACTTTATGTAGTAATAATCAAGTAAATAACCTTGTAAGTTAGATAAATTATCGTGTAATGTGTATTAAAATATATTAATATTCACACTTTAAAATGCCACCAAGTATGTGAAACGTTACTTTCAGTTAATTACACTAATTCTTTAAATAATTATCAAATTAAAAAGTTTGATGTACATATGGATTTTAGTATTAAGTATTTATGTATTTTTATTACAATTTATGATTAAGTTGAGATAGATAGATAGAGAAGATACTAAGTGGAATAATTAATTTTAAAGTTAGCCGATAATTTTATGTTTAATTTTTTTTATTTTATGCTATGTAAGTAAATAATAAGAATACCATTACTAAAGGTGGCTTACCTGTTGTTGTTGCTGGATAAGCTGCTGTTGTTTCATTTGGGCATCGTGTGCGAATGGCATCGCATCAAAAGGTGGTGGCGGCAGCATTAGGGGCACCAGCGGTGGTTGAAGATTCATAGCCGCCAGGGCTCCAACGTTCAATCCAAGAGGTAGCCCCAAGGATAGCATCTGAGCCACCATAGGATGTAATTGCCCCAGCTGTTGTTGTAACTGGAGCATGTTGAGTGCTGCTTGCATCTCCTGTACCTGAGCTGCTAGCAACGCTCCAGCCTGGGCTTCTCCAGAGCCATTAGCATTCTCATTGAAGTTGCCATTGCTCTCTCCCCGAGGAGATGGGGATCGATCTCCCTGCGGAGCAGGCGACGCTGCACGCGGCGAATTCGGCGCACCAGACTTCCTCTCGTACTCAGATTTAAACTGTTCCGCGAACTGCTCTAAAAACTCGAGCGGAACCTTATCCTTATGCACTTCTTCACAATGGGTCTTTAAAACGAACACACTAGAGAACTCCTTATTGCAATGCTGGCAGGTGGACTTGTTCTCTCCATCCGGAGGCTTCTCCTCGGGCGGCGGAGGCGGGGGGCTTGGCGCTCGCGCCATCTCACGCTCTTCTTGCAGCTTTCGACGCTGATTCTCATTGTACTGCATGACGAGATCGAACCCGAACGTCTCGAGGAGTTGTTTATACATCTGTGAGTTCCGTTTGGGCGGATTGCCCTTCGCTACCATCTCGTCTAAAGCAGCTGCTTCTGCGTCACCCAGCGGCGAGTGCGCCCGCGCATCGCCAAACGGACATGAAGTTACGCGATGTGCGTCGAGTAGCTCCCCAGTTGGGAATGACGCGTGGCAGCGGTCGCACGAGGCGCTACCTGCGCGAGGGGATCGCGGGCTACCTGGGCGAACGGGGGGCGAGGAACGGGGTCCCCCGCTGCTCGTAGATGAAGGGGATGTATTTTTTGGCGACAATACGTCTTGTAATATTTTGGCGGGGTCGTTTCTATCCGGCTGCTCTACTAAAGGCCGCGTCAAGTCGACGTGACCCGCCGCGGCTAGCTCTTGCAACTTGCCGGCACGTGTTTGATGCAAAACCGATCGCATATGAATATCTAACGTGCTGCCTTGCGTATAAGCCACTTTACATATGTTGCATTTATATCGCTTGCGGTCATCTTCCTCGCTCGACGTACTCTTTGGCGTGAGAGTCAAATTCGACGGCGCTGTACCCGCGCCTGGCGATACTGGAGGGTTGTTATTGTTTTGCTGCTCTTGCATAGCGCGTTTTAATTTATGCAAATGACTCACACTGTTATAGTGCACCAATAGGATATTCTTTTGCGTAAATGACTCTTTACATACGTCACATTTGAACGGCCTGTTGGGATCGAGATATTTCTCCATGGGATATGTTAATTTTTCACCTTTTCTATGCAGGAGTGTCTTGTTATGTGCAGTCAAATAAGACTGTCTTGTAAAAGCGACTTTGCACCTATGGCATTTGTATTTTCTGTTTGGATCATTATAGGAATCCTCGGCCATCGCTTGCGAGTTCAAATAATCTTCTAGAAATTGTTGGTCTTTGTAGATTATCGAATCATCTGAGTTTTCCGCGTCGTTATGACCAGATTCATCAGCCACCGTGGCGCTAGAGTCTCTGTCTTCCATTTCTCCTAGCTCGTCATCGGGCGTCCTTAGAGCCTCTTTACGCAGTAAATCAGCCGTAGCAGGATCTAGTGCAGTACCTTGGCTCGATTGCAATAACGGATTCGAAGCCAAGCTACGCTTAAAAGCCGCAAGTTCATCCTCAGATAGTTCAGAGTGCGACGTTTCCACGTGTTTTTGGAGAGCTAATATGGATCTAAAGCTCCGTCCACACAAAACACATTTAGTAGCATCGCGTATTAGATGGTATTGCGAATGAAGTTGGAGTTTCTCTACAGTTTTAAATGCAAGACTGCATTGGTTGCAGCGGTATTTGTAAACGTGCTTTTCTGATACCGACATATTCGCGATCGAGTTACGGGCGTGGGCTTCTTTGAAGTGGTTTTGTAGCGCATGAGCCGCTTCGAAATAACGGTTGCAGCCTTTCTTCCAACAGACATAACCGGGCCCTTGGGGTGTTTGTTTTAGTTCCAAGTGACCAGATTCGTTTTGATGGTGGCATAGTTCGTCGACATTACGGAAAGTTCGGTTGCAAGTGGAGCAACGTTCTGTCTCGCCGTCTACGCTGCCTTCAGAGCGAGGCGAGGATATCTCACGATCTTCATCTCCTTGTCTAGAATCTTCGCGTTGGGCTTGATTGGCACCGTTTAACCAATGACTCTGATCTACAAGAAGCAAGAGGCGTTGGAGGCCTTCGGAGTTCACCGAATGTATTTGCATAACGTGCCTCTCAAGAGCTGGTCTGTCCTTAAAGGCATCTTGGCACAGGGGACAGATGAAATGTCTAGCAGTGTCAGCATGCATAGAGTTTATATGCATATGCAGTTTACTTTCGTTATCACAGCTGAAATTGCAATAGGGACATGCGTGTGACCCTGACACCTCCTCTTCCTCTTTTTCATTTGATCCCTGAGGTACGGACTGTTGCGCAACCTGTTGCTGTTGTTGTTGTTGTTGCTGATGTTGCTCTAAAAAGCGTAGCATCTTCTGTTCTTGCGTCAACTCCGGTTTCTGGTCAATGGGTTCCTTGTTATCTGTTAACAAAGAAAGGTGCTCGTTAATATCTTTCGTTATTAAGTCACAATGAGTGTGGGCGTGCAAAGCGACAAACTTTCCACGCCGGAATGTGCACAGCGAGTGGATAGCAATCGGTAATCTGAACACGTTAACAATGTCTACCTACGTCTACGTGAGATTTATCTACAAAAAAGATTATTTTTATAAATGAAGCTAACTATTGTTCGGTGCGAGCGTTTGTTACTATTCTGAATTGAAGTTAAAAATAAAATTCTTCTCCTTTATATTATTAGTAAGACTCGTTTTGTTTGCGTCGTCCCAGCAAGACAAAGGTACTGCTCTATCCATCGCACGCACACATTCTCACGGACGTTAATACAACGTAACAAGTATATTGTAATTTTGCACACAAAGGAGATACAGGACGGGCAAACAATCATTGTTCATTATTACAAAAGGTTCGAATATTTCGCTTCACGTCAGATCAAATGCATTCGGCTGATCGTATGTGGATTCGACAATAGGCGCGAGCGAGACGGAGATACGCTAAGAGAATATGTAAGGGCATTTATTATTTGACCAAGGATGTGTCCGCGGCAGCGTGTGAAAGAAGCTGGCCTGTATTGTTTACGCTCAAATAACGAACGTTAAAGAAAATAAGAGCGACGAGCAATAATGTTCGTTAGTGTATCGTTACAATTTTGTATTATGAACGACCGATTCCTATATCTACATTTATTTTTATATAAAAAAAGGTACAGCTTAAGAGAACTCAGTAGAATGTACCTGATTTAAATTCATATATTTGTATATGTGATTTACTGAAGTAGTATAAACGTTGCTATTTATTAGTTTTTTTTTATATAACTTCATTATCAAATATATGCATTATCGATACAAGTATTTTCTTTTCATCAAATTAAGTAGGTACAGTAATTAGAATCATTTATTACAAACAACACTAGGAGACGTGACAAAACTTTCAGCTGATTCTGTTTAAATACAAAGCAATTGAATTTTCGTTATACACATGCATTAATGAACGTTACAAGTAACTTATATATGACAGTAAATGCATTGAGTAAACAAAATATGAACCGAACGATTTGCGTTCAAGTTCACGGCGCGTTTTGCACGATCTCGACGTAACGAAAACATCTCGCATAAAGCAACAGTCTCACAGAACAGCCCGAGGGGACAATTCACAATTAATTAAAACTGGAAATTATCTCACAGTCCAGCGCAGCTGAAAGCGACCAGTCTCCAAACTCGTTTCATAGTTTTAAGTTAAAACCGTTACGTCTAATGGGGAGAGGGCTAAGTAAATCGTAATAATAATCAAAGGCTGACCCTAATCGCGACTGACCGGTGTAATAATTTATAACTCGCCGGACAGTCTGGATAGAACAATATGGTAAGGGAGCAACTGCATAAATGCGATCTCCGACGCTTTTTGTCAATGGACAAAGGGCCTTTCTAAGGAAACACCACATCGTTATAGCGTCGTAAAGTATTGTGCAGCGATCTTTGTTTCGCGGGATTTGGGTCAGGATTTTTACAATGTGGCGTTAGGGATACAATCGACGGCTTGAATAGTCTTGGAATGTCGCAATTCTATTCGAGATTAAGGATATATAATCTTTAGTAAGTAAAACTTAATTAATTTATTGTATCGAAATGGGATTTTACTAATATGAACGTAGGCTAATTGAGGCTTAGCGAGGCAGAGTAGCCTATCTGCAATTGTATGACTTATTTATATTTTCATACTCTTAAAATGTTAATCTACAAGAGAAAAGTAACCGAAAATTGTTAACAAATTTCATTTTCGCCCAAATTCTGCGTATTTTGCTATTTATTGAAAATTATGTTTTTGTTATTAGGCCACTCAGGATCTAGCAGCCTCAATAATAAATAACTCGAATTTGGCCATTCGCACGTCGACATTACGATAAAGATTTTAATTGAAACATTAAAGGTTCTACGCAATTTGAGTGTAGATATTGTAATTTTAATCCTTCGATAGCATTTAAACGGCTCGTCCAATAATCCTACGAAGGCAGGAAGTTGATTAATGTCATGGCCGTCGATGGCTCGGTTCGCGACGAGGTGCAAATAAGTAATAAGCATAAATATCAGGCACAATGGCGTAAGTCGGATTTCTTTCGCCTCCACATCTCTCATGGTTTATTGTGCTTCGGCGAGGCCGTGAACATAGGCCGACGCGACATTGTATGACGAGCGGGCTCATCAAGGGAGCGATCGTTCTTGACGCGACGACCACATACGTAATTCGAGTCATTGTCCCGCGTGCGGTACTTATGGAAAATTCGCGTTCTCAATTCAAATCTTCTCGTCGTCTCCCTCGCGCGCGGGGCGGAGTCGCCTCCGACCAATGGCGGAGACCGACCGCGGCGACACCGCGCGAGGCGTACGAAACCAGTTCTAATATTGCGCGCTTCAAATTAAATTTTGTCCGTGTGTAATTATCTCATTATAGTAATTACGAATTCCCCGCTAAATACCGGCCGATGTAAATGGCGAACGACGCACACGAAGTGTCGGTCACGCGTCCGAGCGAAGCCTCCGATCTCGATAATACGCACGCTATCATCACTCCTCATTCGGCCGAAAACTTTGGACTAACGAAACGAACTATTATTTAACCCGATACAGAAGTGAGAAGTTTGTAAAAAACGCAAAACAAAATTGATTAAGGAACGAATCGTTTTAAATTGGAAACCGATAGTGACGTTTCGAAATCACATTCATAAGTCCGCTCGGTATTATTTTATCGATATGAACTAGGTAATGGCTTCGGTCGCATTAATTTTAATGGAATTTTCACGGTTTATAGAATAAAATGTTGCGAAATATTATGTTAAATATAATTGTAATAAGCGAGCGTTGCGATCACGAGAGGATTACGCACAGCGACATCTAGTGACCGCTAAAGGGAAAGGAATGATTCGACAAGTGGCGCGCGCGCATCTAATTGAATTCTCACTTTTTCTGAATATTTCGTTTTTTGCACGTCTACTCATTCTTAGATTCAGATATCATTAGAGCTCGTTACTTTAAGAGACAATGACTTCAGGAAGCGTGCAGTGATAGTAACAATAGCCTGGTCATGCTTGGATAAATATACGTAACTAAGGCGAAAAGTAATTGCTTGTTCCTTATAATTACGTCACAAAAAATAAGTTTCGACTAACAATAGAAAAATGAATATATTAAACGAAGTATAGAATAATATTGCTAATATAACTTACCATTTTCTTGTTGGTCAAATGGACTAGGCAACTCCGGGGGCTGTGGAATGACTTGAAAGAGTTCAGCCACGTCCGGCGTGGGGTCTTTTCCCTCAGATCGTCGTTGGAGCTGATGAATTTGTTCCATCTGAAGATGTTTCACTGAGCGAACGTGTTGCAGGAGAGGTAGTCGATGGGGAGATCCGAAGCCACATAGTGCACAGCGGTATACCCTAGGTCGATCACGTGGTATCCTAGAAGAGCAGTCGCGTAGGTGCCTCAACAAAAGCGCGGCGGCTTCGTGCCGAGCTCCAGCAGCATGTAACTGCAACTTATGCGCAGAGTTAGTATAGTAATCGCAAGCACAGCATCTAACTTGAACGCCACCCACACCGGCGCCTCCGGTGCCGACACCACCACAGAACTTCAACTTCCACTCGTTTCTGGGACCACCTTCCTTCACGTGGTTCACGTGTTGTAGCCTTTGCAAATGTTTATCAGTCTTGCAATGAAGTTGAAAATTGGCTTTTAAATTAGTTTTATAGGTGCATAGTTTACAAACATAGTGACCGGCCACGAGGGCAAGTATTTCTTGTTCTCTAATCTTAGTACGATCCTGTGCTAAGTGGTGACCGAGAGCTTCCAGGGAGTCGGTAGAGAAACAGTTGCAAATGCAGCAGTGGAAAGTCCGTTCTGGCTCCGGATCTGCCGGTTCTGGTGGTGGTTCCATGGCGTCAGGGTTTAAGCCTACATCTAAATGTGCGCCGAGTTCTGGAGGTGAAGGCCCGGGTCCACCAGTCATCAGTTGTATCATGAGAGCTTGATTATAAGCCATATCTGCCAACGCTGCCTCAGGGTTGGGAGGCGGCGCATCTCCACCGTGGAAATGTAGTAAACTCTCAAGCTGTTGTTGACTTTGTTGTCTATGATGTAGAGCTGATAAAGTTTGCATATGCTTCACATTTTGCTGTAGAACAAGCATGTTATGAGTATGCTTTTCTGAGGTCATGTGTATCCTTAGATTTCTTGCTACGTTTGTCTCGTAATTACACACGTCACATCTAAATGTAGGCTTTGGTTTCTGACCTAAAGGAGAATGATGTGGTAGTGGTGGCTTGTGTGCGCCAGGTGGAGTATGTTGTGATGGCGTCAAGTTACTTTCTCCTGGATTCCCACCGTTTTGTAATTCTTGCATATTGTTTAAATGCTTATCCGATTGCATATGTATGCTGAGGTTTCCCTTAGTTGTCGTCGAATAATTACAAACTTCACATCTGTACGGTTTGTATCCACATGTGTAGGTTTCTCCTCTCGCTAATCGCGGGTGCGGTTGACCAGCGATACAATAAATGCAACTTGTTTCAGCTTCCGGATGTTTTTCCTTCATATGAATTTCTAATGTCTCTTGATATTTGTAATGCCAATTGCACTTCGGACATTTCAAGGTTTTGCATGAATTTCGACTGTGCATACCGGCCAGTGGTCCTCCTAATCTACCCGAATTTAATATAAGCTCACATTTTGGACAATCAGCACCGGATGGTCTGCCTCCTAAATGATCTGGGCATACTCCTATCGTTGTTCCAGACAAGAATGCTGGAGGTGCCGGTTGGAAAGGAGGCGATGAGTTAGGGCTCACTCGCGGTTGAACGGATGCATTTATAGTATGGGGATGAGCGACAGATATTAAAGAATGCTGTGGTAGCAATGATTCAGCCAGTGATCTTGGTGGCCGCCACGCAGGTGGACTTGGCCTTCTATCATCACAGGAACCATTTGGGAGCATGTTGTCGTTATCCCTGTCGGGTGTCATGAGGTCCGGCCTCTTGTCTACTGATGGACTTGATAATTCGGACATGTTTGCAGGACTGCCTGAAATGGAAGCACGTTGTGGCGCAGCAGCACCTACAGGTTCTAGGAATGAGACTAGTGGTTCTTTGTCTTTTCCGACACATTGGATGATTGCTGATGCATTTTCTCTTGATAAAGCATCCCTTTCTGTGTCAAGTAATGATAAACTATGATCAGATTGTGCATGCGCTACGAATGATTTTGCGTATCCAAAGCTAAGTTTACATATAAAACACATAAGGATTGGTTTAACGGGTACGCTAACGCATTCAGGAACTGGAGACTGGGGTCTCGGAGTTTCTTTCCCGCGAAAACTGAACACTCGATAACTATGCATAACGGGCGCATCAGGTCTCGCTCTTGCTCTTTCAGCGGCTAGTCTTCCATACAGAGCACCGTACAATGAAGGATTTCTTGACACGTAAAATGCGCTTGCAATTTGCGGAAACTCAAGCTGTCTCTCAACGACGTTGCTGTCTCTGCTGTCAACAATACACCCCGGTTCTATCTTAGGTAGGTCCGACAAGCTGGTTTCACCCTCGGAGAGTTCAGGGTCCTCGATAATGTACGCTGAGCCGTCAGGATTGTAAACTATCTTGCCGTCGAAGTGTTCTACATCGGAGGAGAGAGGTGGTGAGTCACGGCGCGAGCTGAGATCTACGGCGTCAGGGGCTGCTGGTGGTGAGGTAGGTGCGGGGGCGGAAGAAGGCGCTGGCGTCGGCGCTGCCGGAGCTGCTGGCGCGTTCCTCGGGTCCTCCTCAGGGCTCATATTGCCGTCGTCGTCGTCAGGCTCGAGCGCGGCGGAACTTTGCGGGTCGTCGCGTTTGCGGCGCCGCTTGCGCTCCGGAGGCGGGCCGCTAGCGGGGCCGCCGGGCTGCAGCGGCGTGGGCATGGCGCCGGGCGTCAAAGGCCGGCATCACATGCTCTCCTGTAACAATTATATATTCAATTAGTTAGGTACTCAAAATTATTACTCAGTAGATGAAAAACAAAGTTTAAATTACAATGTGTATGAAGTCCGCTGCGTACTAAATTGGATATAATAATATGATGTACAGTATTTAAATTAAAGTACACAGTAATCGGCCCTTATCTAGCATTTACGCAAACAAATGCCATCATTTATCCAAATGACAGGCTGTCAATTCTGTCAACGGCGACACTATTACAATTAAGCAACCAGTGGTCCTGGAACTCGGTAAACAAACATTCGCGAATCATGATGTACGAATATAGTCTTTAGGCGTTGAACATAGAGCTTATCGTATCTAATAAAAATATTAATTCTCGAAGTAGGTGTGACACCTATGAAAAATTTGTTAAAAAATTGAGATTAAGCCGTCATCTTCGTTATCTTGCCCGTTATCAGTGATAACGGCGTCTCACCGATACCCGCCTAACGAAGTTACAAATTTATAAGAATTTCTGCTTATTTATTTAGCTGACAGACTTAAGATAACTCATCGCCGGCTGTTGACATATGTGCCACAAAATAATTGATGAAATCACAAGATCACCTTCGAGAACATGTACCTACGTTCTATGATGAAAATGAATTGACTAATTCGCTACTCCTATTCACTAATCACTGACTAATGAATGAATAATGACAGGATACAGATAGTAAATTAGCACTAGACTACTTAACCGGATGTGTGCTATAGATAAGTACTAATTCAAATTAGATATCTTAACAATTAGAAGTCCTTCATGTTTTTCATTTGTGGACAGACCGCGCCTATTTGAATGTTTGCTTAACTAACGGTCGAGTGCGGAGCCCTTGAGTACGATTGTGCGATAAATTATATTACACCAGAATTTGATAAAGTCAATATTTACTTAGACGACAGTTATTCTGTGTGAAAGAAGTACGTTGTCTGAATACATTTCAGTTAATATCTAAAAATGTACTTAAATCGGATGAGAAAATCGAATAAGATTTTTAAAAATTAAGAATGGGAGAAACATGTGACATAGAGAGTAATAGAAAATAAATATGAACAATATACACCTGACAACGTTATATCGGTAAAAAAAACTTTAGAAAACAATCCCGAGTTTGTTTAATATATAAGATATATAGAATTTAGGTACAAAAAATTGTGCAGTTAATGTGTTTCACCAAATACGTCTTCGTGGGGCTATATTTAAACTAATTGTTTTTATAAATAATAACGCAGTTTTAACAGGATCACCAATTGACCACATAGTTATTGGAAAGGCTTTAATTGCAATTGTCGTTACTGCAGCAGCAATTTGTAGATAATTTCGCAGTGCTAATGTGTATGGAAATTACGCAAAGAGCCGGTAATTAGAGAGGTGAACGATCTAAAATATAATAACTCCACATGACTCAATTCTTCTGAAGACAGAAGTATGAAAGCTCACGCTTTCTAATAAGAAAGGCGATGCACTATTATTTAACATCGACAACGCCTATTCACACAGAGCCGTGTAATAAAACAAACGCGAATTATAAGATGCGACTGTAATTGGTGTTTTGCAAATGTACTAAAGTGCTGTTCAATAAGCTTAATATTTAATGAGGCCGCACGTGCAGGGATTCCCACCGTGGCACAATCTGTGCTGTTGTCAATTACCACCGATGCCCTGATGCTAGCAGCAGAACAAATTTCCAATAGACACGCACACAACTGCAATCCAACAAATCACAAGCGTGTGAATGTTGCACACAGACGTATTTGTGATCATCGATACGAGCTTAGTCATAGTCACATGCCCGCATAATACGACAGTTTTCAAACCGATATCTTTAAATATATTAGTAATCAGGATAATTAATATCGAACAAAACTTCACCTCGTGAAGTTATATTAGCAAAATAACGAAATGACTCATTAACGTTCGGTCTAAATGCAGTTCGTGATCAATGGATCACTTTCGAATGAGAATTTACTGTTTATTAGAAACCGCGACAATCGCTGCGCTTACCACCACTAGCACTTTCCTTAATGGCGTTGTTATTATCATAAATAATTCAGCTAGGTGTGGGTTTGTGGAATAAGTTCGTTTACGGTTTAACCAGTGACAATACTAAAGTTTATTCGTAGCAGAATCTGTTAAGAAACTTCATTCCCGAAAATTTTGTGAGATCATAATCTTATAATTGCCTTTAATTACAGGATGAGAATGTTCTTGTGGGCTTTTACATAAATTATCTTTTTCCTTTAAACACTAAAAAGAAATACAATCAAAAGACGATCTGGTACAGGCCTCGACGATTTAATGAGGGAAAGAAGATGAAGCCGAAGATGATTTACTTAATAAGTAAGGAATAGTATGTACAACGTAATGGAGCCTTGTTACACGTGGGAACGGTTGAAGAAGTGCTGGTACATGGCAAGGATTTAGTTCAACATTGTCCACCGTTAGGACTAAATCATTACTGGGTAATTGATTTCAACGTTGAACATTTTTTTGTTTCTATATGAACAATCTCTCAGAGAATTTCTTAAGTAAGACCAATTTAAGTATTGTTTAATCAGACGATTTCACAGATTCGAACCCCGTATATCACGATCCGCAGAGACACTAGACCAACGAGCAAGTTAACAAAGTAATTTGTAAATGCAATTAGCTAGCATTACACTGCTAGTGCTTGAGCATTAGACGTAAATACCTATTATACCTGCTCCGCGGCTTAATCAAATAATTCAAGGAGAAAGTACACAATTAAAACGGTGACACGGCGGATTCGTGAATTTCTGATTACAGAGTCTGTAAGAGTATGTTACTCACATTGCAGTCTTATTAGCTTATATTCCCATTAATTTGTTTAATTAGCCCCGAAGTGTGTTTACAAATAACAAGGCACAGGACGTGAGCGAACAGCAATCATCTAAATGAGATCGAATCATAAAGATGAGTTTATGATTTATTTGCTTTCAAAGCTAATTGCGTAGGGCGCCTGGCGGCTCTCACTTGACTTTAACTTATAGATAATAGAGGTTTTTTCAAGAAGTCAAGAAATGTGAAATCACCAAAATAAAGGATTTTACTTTAAGATACTTTATCATAATAGGTAATGAAACTACTGTATGAGAAATGTAAATAACGATTTTATAAAAATAAAAAATTGAATTCAGATTAAAAAAATCAACGATGACGTGTAGGAGACGGTAGCTCAATTGGTTAGAGCAACAGCACGGAACGCTATCGATGCTAGTTCAAGTCTAGGTGTCGTAATAATATTTCGATGTAAAGTCGATTTTTAATGTTCATAATAAGATGTGGAATATATATTTAAGTTTTCAAAACTTTTTTTATTGCGTTATAATCAAGTCTTATTTAAAACGAACGAAGCAATCTATGTGTATGTCTCATTTCCATGAGTTGAGACCTAATTCTACCATAGTCGCCTATGCATGATGCTGCAGCTTACCTGACGGGCGCCAGCCAGACCACGCGCTCTTAGGAACCGTCAATTTTCGCCTGTAATTATTGCGGACCCTTCGATACTTATTTCTATTTTTTCGTGGCTTAATTGTTGCAACAGATGACTTTTTTGTCGAACCACCTCAAAGAGAGCGGAGAGGCATCAAACGCTGCGTCGAATTTTGAAATAATTATACATAAATAGTCCCTTGAGCGGGCGATTAAGACAATTTCTGAGGCAAATTGCCGCAGACGAGCATAATAGCACACGCGTTTCGTCATAAATAAATCTGGATAACATTTACGAGATTAAGATTGATTCGATCTCTGCTTTCCGCTTGATGCCCGCGCCTGGTGAATCGTGTTAATACAAATGATTATTCCATTTTTGTTTGTGATTTGTGGGATAATTACGATCGACAAATTGCCGTACGCCATTAAAAGATAACGGGTGGCTATCGAGTGGATATCGAGCCGGTGTAGCGTAATTAATGATGGATATGTGAAATAATTAATTAGCAGCCGGATCCGGCGGCGCCGGGGGCTGCAGCACAAAAAACAATGACGCGCGCTTTTCGGAAACCGGCGCCGGTGGTGTGGCGACAACCGCCGATCTATAGGTACCAGTTACCACTATAATTTGGTAGACCACGAATTAGTTTTAATCACATTTCGGTGAGATGAGCGTGACGCGGAGCGACTCACCGGAATCTGTCATTAATGATAATTCGAAAGATTGTGTTCTGTAATTATGCGGCTGGCGTGGGTCGAGATAATTTCGATTCGAAATTACATTTGTTTTAATTATGGTGGTAATATTAAACAATTGGAATGGTACATGGGCATTGTTTAGCATAAATACCTTCTATTGTTTGGTTATCAACCGTTATACCTAATGGCAAGATATAGAATTATCGTTGGTTTAGACATATTGAGAAATTCAATGTTATAACTTAGGTGCTTTATAAATTTATAGGGAACAAAATACCTGGATCTTAATGAGGTGACCTAAAATCAATAGCAATTAAGATTCTCACGAGATCCACGGATACTTCAAATCCGTGTTCCATCGGTCTGCGTGCGCGCAATTAAAACGAAACCAGCAATCAGCCGCCATGTTTGTACGGACGATGTTAATAGCGTTCAGTAATTACATATCAGAATCATGCTATCGTTGTTTCTCGGAACACTGATCCGATTAATAGAACCTATTTTAGACATCAATTAGGTGTTTATTCTAACATCGATATCTGGCCTCTCAATGCAGGGAATGTCAATGATGTGTATTAGGTAGAATTGATAACGTTATACTACATATAAATATTAATAAATAGCCACAACGAACTAGATCGTATGATTTTAATTTTGTTTAAAAAATTACTAATTGTTATGTAACTATTTCAGTTAAATACTGTCTGTAGTTTACGCTAGTAGTAAACATTTAAATAAAACACTTTAACGGTTTAAAACGCGATATATTTCGGTTTATAAACTTAT